CTAAACAGTGGGCGGGGCTTCAGGTGATCATGGAGCAGCTGATCTGATCTCTCTCTAGCGTCCGGTTATACTTCACTCGCGTTTATGTCCATATCGATCAGATCCAGCTCTCCTGATCGGTCTTTATAGAGAGCACAGATCAAACTATTAAGAGTGAATATCGGCCGATAATGATCGGCGGCCAATCGATCGGGGCATCGGACATTTTGACCGGCAGGTTTTGAATTTACCGGTTTTTATTACATTTTACCAGCTAAAAACCGGTAATTACCGGCTAACGGAAACCCTGATCTAAATGTATTTATGGAAAAGCCACTAGCATGAAAAAGTTCAGTTCCATTGAATTCATTTTGCTATTCGAGACTTCAAAGAGTTTACTGAAATATAAACTTTCATTATTGGTATTGGCATCATTTTAATGGGGGTTTAAAAAAGGCAGAAAATCTAGATGTTAGTAATGAGATTGTGAAATGTTATGTAACCCAGTGTTAATGTTTCCCTAGATGAGAGCAAAAACTATTTGTATAGATTGGACTAAATGTCTGAGGTCAGATGTCAAAATATATTATTTTAAAGCTACTAAAATATTTGTGTTATCTCTTCACATAACTAGAAATCCCGATAGAATTGTAAAGGTAAATGACACAACAAATATAATACCCATCTCCCCATTCAGGAAGCCTTTGATGTGCTGGGATTTAATCAAGAAGAGAAGAACGGCATTTACAAGCTGACTGGTGCCATCATGCATCATGGAAATATGAAATTTAAGAACAAGCAGCGTGAAGAACAGGCAGAGGCTGATGGCACCGAAGGTGAGAGAATCTCGCTGAAGCCAGGAAACAGGATATGTCACATGTCAGCATTTGATGTGTTTATAAGAGATTAGGTGATGCTCATTGAGAGATCCTACATTGCATTTTTTCAGATGCTGACAAAATTGCATATTTGATGGGCCTGAACACCTCCGACCTCATCAAAGGTCTCTGTCACCCGAGAGTCAAAGTCGGAAATGAGTGGGTCACCAAGGGACAAAGTGACCAGCAGGTAAGAATGACAGTTCAGAGTTCAATGTACTAACTAGGGAAACTATCAATGTGTGGACAATAAGGCACATTTTGGATTATTTACTGTAATTTTTAAATGTTGGACTTCCTTTAGGTGAACTCTTCTATTGGTGCACTGGCTAAATCAGTGTATGAGAAGATGTTTTTGTGGATGGTGGTGAGGATAAACCAATCCCTGGACACAAAGCAGCCCCGCCAGTACTTTATTGGAGTACTGGACATTGCTGGATTTGAGATCTTTGATGTAAGTTTGTAACAGAATCCGATGCACGTTATTACCATGTGTGCTTAAAATGTTCATGAGTTCATTTCTGATTAATTTCAATGTTATTACAGTTCAACACCTTTGAGCAGCTGTGCATCAACTTCACCAATGAAAAACTGCAACAGTTTTTCAACCACCACATGTTTGTGCTGGAGCAAGAAGAGTACAAGAAAGAGGGCATTGAATGGACTTTCATCGATTTTGGCATGGATTTGCAGGCCTGTATCGACCTGATTGAAAAGGTAAGATTTTGCACTTGTGCACGTTTGTGAATTTGTTGTTGTTGTAATGGTCTATTAAAGCAATTCTAATTTCTGTCCTTTCAGCCCATGGGTATCATGTCCATCCTTGAAGAGGAGTGCATGTTCCCCAAAGCCTCTGATGCCACCTTTAAATCCAAGCTCTATGACAACCATCTCGGGAAGTCTGGTAACTTCCAGAAGCCCCGAATTGTCAAAGGGAGACCAGAGGCCCACTTTGCCCTGATGCACTACGCTGGAACTGTTGACTATAATATCAACAACTGGCTGGTGAAAAACAAGGATCCTCTGAATGAGACTGTTGTTGGACTCTACCAGAAGTCCAATCTTAAACTGCTATCTTTGCTCTTTGTAAATTACGCTGGATCAGAGTCAGGTAGGAATAAACTAAAAGATCTACCTTGAATGGGAATGTAAAGGCTTTCTAACATTTTTCGTATTGGGAACTTCAAGATTGAACAGTTTATGCCAGTGTCTTTTAATTCAATCTAATGAGTTGTACATTGGTTTATTAGCTGACGGTGGAAAGGGTGGCAAAGGCAGCAAGAAGAAGGGTTCATCTTTCCAAACTGTGTCTGCCTTGCACAGGGTTAGTAAAAAAACACATCTATGTATGAATGACTACATCAAATGCATACTGATGACTGAGACTTACTTTTATATAAATAACTGAAAACTACGCGTCACAATATCACCAAACTGGTTGTTCTCCACAGGAGAACCTGCATAAGCTGATGACCAACTTGAGGTCCACTCACCCTCACTTTGTACGCTGCATCATCCCCAATGAGACCAAGACTCCTGGGGCCATGGAGAACCCTCTGGTGATGCACCAGCTGCGCTGTAACGGTGTGCTGGAAGGCATCAGGATCTGCAGGAAGGGCTTTCCCAATAGGGTCCTCTATGGAGATTTCAAACAAAGGTATAATAATTTATGGTTAATGTTTGGTCACACCCTTAAAAGAAAATGTAAATATTATTCTCTAAAATATTATTTATTTTCCAGATATCGCATCCTGAATCCTGCTGCCATCCCTGACGGCCAGTTCATTGACAGCAAGAAGGGAGCAGAGAAACTTCTTGGGTCTCTGGATATTGACCACAGTCAGTACAAGTTTGGACACACAAAGGTAGCTAATTAAATAGAAAGCATATTTGGTAACAACTGTTTATACATGCAAATAGTGTCAGTAGAACATGAAGGGAAGAAATTGTAACACAAATTATTATCAAGTCCGTAAACTTAATGATGCCAATTCAGCAATCGTATCTATTTGTTACCAAAGGCTACTCATTACAACAGATCAAATAGGCCTGTAGCAGCTACATTTCTGAGCACTTTTCATTAAGCAAGAATTTATTTAAAGGGGACCTATTATGCAAAATGCACTTTTATCCAAAAATATATGTCCCCGGTGTGTCAGGGAACTCACAAAGTGTCAGAAAACAAAACCCTCTCTCTTTTCCTCCGAGCCCACATCGCAAAAAAAAAGAAAAAAAGGAGGGTGCTAATCATGATGGATGTATAATAAGTACTGGATACAGCGTGGGAGGCGGGGTCTCGTTCTTTCCTATGAGAGCTGCTCATTGGCGCAGGAAGACAAAATGGCCCAACTTTTGAGAGAGCGAAACGTCACGAAAGTATTCATATAATCATATAATCCGTTCTTATTGTGCATCCATGGGTAAAGGTAAAACTCATGTAGTACTACTGAGAAAGGTTTGAGCTCCATACTGTTTCAGAAAAGAAGCTTGAAGTGGTTAGGAGCATAACATGGCATTTAATCACCGCAGCGTTTAGCTGAGATCTCCCGGTAGAAATCTCTCTCTAGAAGGGGAAAACTGCGTGACGCTACAAAGGGGCGTGGCTAGCAGCAGACCAATTTAAAGCAGAATCTGCCTGTTTGCAACAGGGCTGCAACAGAGGGTATGAGCAGTATGAGGCATGGCTATAATGAACGATCTGTTGTTTTGTATAGGTATGGCCCTACAATATATTTTTCCAATATAGCATAATAGGTCCACTTTAAGTTCAGCTTTTTATTTCTAAGAGTAACAAAGTTATTCAGTTATTCAGCTTTAAAGCTTCAATTTCCTAAGGCATGAGCTCTTATGTGTAATACAATACATGTTCCTCAAGGTGTTCTTTAAGGCTGGTCTTCTTGGTCAACTGGAAGAGATGAGGGATGACCGTTTGTCCCTCATCATCACTGGGATCCAGGCAAGAGCAAGAGGCATGCTGGCAAGAGTGGAATTCCAGAGAATTGTTGAAAGGAGGTCAGAGGAATAAAGAATATAAAACACAAACCAAATAAATGATAACAATTATACAACATGATGTTATACGTATCAGTGGATGAAATAACGTTGTTTTATCTTTGACAGAGATGCACTTTTGGTGATCCAGTGGAACATCCGTGCCTTCATGGGGGTCAAGAATTGGCCCTGGATGAAGCTGTTCTTCAAAATTAAACCTCTGTTGAGATCGGCTGAATCAGAAAAGGAAATGGCCAACATGAAGGACGAGTTCCTGAAGCTGAAGGAGGCATATGCAAAATCTGAAGCTCGTAGAAAGGAACTTGAGGAGAGAAATGGTTCTCTCTGCTTGAAGAAGAAATGAATGACCTGCCCAGAGCTCCATGTCCAATCTGATGACGTTGTTAACAAGAGCTCTTTTCTTAATAATTTTAATGCAAAAAGTGTCAATATAATCATTATATATCCTAAAAATCATGTATACATGGAAAACCAAACCTATTGATATATCGTTGACATACATTTCTAAAATGTAGGCAAGGAGATAATCTTGCGGATGCAGGAAGAAAGATGTGATGGGCTGATCAAAAACAAAATTTCAGATGGAGGCAAAAGCCAAAGAGCTCACGGGAAAGGCTGGAGGATGACAAGAGGGATGATGAATCTGCCTGAACTGGACTGCTAAGAAGGAGGGAGAGCTGGGGAAGGATGAGTGCCTCTGACGCTGAAGAAAGACATGATGACTTAGAGTTTAACTCGCTAAGGTGGAGAAGAAAAGCATGGCCACAGAGAACAAGGTATGCAATGGCCAGCCTATTTCTTAAAACTAAATGACAGGACAAGAAGCACCTGCGTACCCTTTTATCAATACTTTATCATTCCATTTTTCAGGTAAAGAAACCTGTGGAAGGAGATGGGCTGGTCAGCGACATCGACATCATGCTAAGTTGAACCAAAGAAAAGAAAGCCCTACAGGGAAGCCATCAGCAAACACTGGCTGATGATCTTTCAGAGTGAAGCAAGGACAAAGTCACACACCTCTGGACCAAGGCCAAAGTCTAAGCTGGACGCAGGCAAGTGGATGATGTAAGAAATTCTGCTTTACCCTGTGGTTAATGCCAACCTTGTACTTCAACGTTTTCATGAAGATCTCTGCATATTGGCGATCATTGGGAATAAGCTGCTTGACTTTCTTATAGAATATGATATTGTCCAGCTTGAAGGTTTCTCTGGCAAACAAGAAGAAGAAGATTCGGATGGGATCTTGAAAAGGCTAAGCAGGAAACTAAGAGGCAGGCACTTGAACATTGTAACCCAGGAGAGGCTAATGGATCTGGACGAAATGACAAGCAGCAACTTGAAGGCCATATGAGAAGAGCAATGAAGTAAACCACACTATTCTAAAGTATTACCAGGTTTGTCTGCTGCAGAAAGGTATGACCAGCTTTTCTAATCAACTTGCTGGGCATTTCACCACAGCGAAAGATTTTGAGAATCAGTCAGCTCAGCAGAAAATTAGGGAAGATGAGCAGGCTGTGACAATTCAGCTTCAAAAAGAAACTGAGAGAGACTCCAGGGTAATGGATGACTACGGTTTTTTAATTCTATTGCTTGGGTATAAATAAACCAGCAACTTAATAGTCTGGCTTTACAGGCTCGCATTGAGAGCTACTAGAGGAAGAGGCTTGAAGCAGAGCGCAGCTACTAGCTAAGTTGATGCAGTAGAGCGATTTCGCCAGAGAAGGACATCAAGGTGAGAGCTGGAAGGTAGTTCGTCCGGTCTCCCACATCTCCTGCAGTTTCTGATGAACACTGAATATCACGCAACAGCGCCGAGTTTCTGATCGTCTTCTATTAGACCTTGACTGCTGAGTCTGACTCTGATCTCAAAATCTTCTCTGTCGGTGGAGATGCAGACAGTATGAATCTGAGAAAGTCTCGGTCACCATCTTCTCGCAGACAAACCTTCGTGACTACTTTAGGATCATCGTGTTTTACTTGCTCTTCATATGCTCGTATATTGCTCGTTTCATCTCATTTCTTCTATTTTTCTGGGTAATGTTCATATTTCTTTGCATCCGACATTTTCTTCTCTTTTCCAGAGAAGCCTTCAAGCTGGGACAGTGAGGTCGGATATGAAAGTCAAGCAGTCCGTGTGCAGTAATTCCCAATATGCAATATGCAGAGATCTACACTGAAAACCGTGGCAATACAGAATTTGCATTAAGGCACAAAGCAAGATTCTTAATCCTCCACTGCTGCTCCTAGCTTGGATCTTGGCCTTGGTCAGAGTGTTACGTGTGTTCTTCTTTCACTCCCTGAAGGATGCCATCGCCGGTGGCTGGGCTGCCCTGTGAGGGCGTTTCTTTTTCTTGGTCAAGGGCTAGAATCAGCAGCATGATGTCGTCCCGCCCTGACCACGGCATCGCAGGTGTCGTTTACCTGAAAAATATGGACCGATGATATATTGATAAAAGCGGTACAGGTGCTTCTGTCTGTGATTTATTTTAAGAAATAGCTGGGCCAGAGCTACTTGTTCTCCTCCATGCTTTTCACTTCTGCCTTTAGCCAGAGTATAAAACTCTAAGTCGGATCAATGTCTTTCTTCAGCTCAGAGCAGCTCACCTCCAGCTTACCTCTTCTTAGCAGTCATTTCAGGGCATTCATCCTCCTTTTCATCCTCCAGCCTTTC